GTTTTGCTGGTTTTTCTTCTTTCTGTGTACCTGGTTTTGCTGGTTTTTCTTTCTGTGTACCTGGTTTTGTAGATTTTTCTTCTTTCTGTGTGCCCAGTTTTGCTGGCTTTTCTTCTTTCTGTGTACCTGGCTTTGTGAGCTTTTCTTCTTTCTCAGCATGGGCTTCTAGGGGAAAAAAAATCAACAAATTAGATACAGCACAGATGAAAGGTTTTAATAAGTGACCACCATCATTATCTGAGGCACTGAAATGACTTATTCTGTGTAATTCCAAGGGATAGAATTGGGACAAATAGCTGAAAGTCATAGGGAAGCCAATTTTGGCTCAATATGAGGATGAGTTTTGAACAATTAGAGTTGTCTGAAAATAGAATATATTGCTTCATAGGCAAATTAATTTTTCATCACTGAAAGTGTCTGAGCATAGACTGGATAATCTCTTGGGATGCTTTAAAAGGGATTCATTTGTCATAGCTCTTTGGGGACAAATTCCACTTCCCTTGTGGGTCTAGACTCTCACTGAGAATACTTAGTTCTTTAAAATATTAAAAATGATTAACTACTGTACCCAGAAATAATTTATTAAATACTTTTTGTATCTTTATCACTATGCTAGGTGCTGGGGATACAAAGGCAAAAATTAAATAGTTTCTGCTCCTAAGGAGCATACATTCTGTTGGATAGTTTGACAAAATTGAAATATACAAAGGAAACCTTTTCCTCATAAAAATTAAATCCCATGATTTAGATTTATTTTCCTATAAAAACTTTTAAAATGAAAGTATTAATACATTTTCTGAAAAATAACTAAATCTTAAATTTTTAATTGGCATACATACCACATATTTGAGTCTTTTCTAGAGGAGCTAAGAAGCAAATTGAAAAATGCATATTGGTATATTTATTTTAGCTCATTTAGTCTTTCTTTTTGAATATGGCATAGCATGATAATAAGTAGAAGTTCAAATACTACAAAATTTAGATTACAAATTTACATAATCCCAGGAAATGCCTCATTGAACTATAGAACCAAAATAAAATAACAAATTTGTTGCTTTTGATATAGAGAAATCCTTAAATTTATAAAATTCTGCCAAATGTGTAAGTCCAAGGTGTTGGAAGGAAGAGAGGAAACAATGAAGACTAAAAAGACTTTCCAAGTTCCCCATTTAAAGGAAAAAGCTCCAGGATAGAGGAAAGTAGAATACTATATCTACCCATTCTTGTACAAACAAAAAAAAATGAGTGAATGGTTTTGTTGCTTTTTCTTCTTTTTTTTAAGCTGCATATTCTAAGAAAAAAATAAGCTATCAAAATTAATTGAAAAGTGGAAAATACACTGGGATCTACAAGATATCCCTGTAAATTCTGATTTGCATTATGTTTTTTAACTAGCATAGTATAGCAAAAAAAGAAAGAAAGAAAGAAAAGAAAAAGGAAAATGAATTCAGGGATTTGGTCTTTAGGAGAAGGTCTAATAAAACTCCCTCACAAAAATAGAAACATAACATGCATATTTTACCCGTAATTTAAGTTATTTTTTGCTTCTAAGTCATGATTTTTAAAAATGGTGGTGGCATTTGAATGGGAGAATTACAGTTTGAGTGGGAACAACAAGAAGCACTTCCAGAATAGAAGAGTTTGGGTGAGAACTGAGGCAAAAATTGGGTTGGAAGGTAATTTGGGGATTTTTGCCAGTTGTAGAAACAAGGACAGAAACTCAGCTAGGATAAGAAACTCAATATATGGTGAACTTCTAATTCTAATAAGGCTATTGTACTCTTTGGTGGTACAGAGATTTCTATTCTGATAAACACTTAAGTTAAGAAAGATACTGTGAACAGAAGCCATTTCCTGGTAGAGGGTCTGGCTCCTACCACAATGAGGAAAGTGAGTTTCAAGATTGAAGATACTCAATCAGTTTGTCTCCCAGTACAAATGAAACAGACTCCAAAACAGTAGAAAACTAGACATTTTCCCTAGGACAAATATATTAATTTTTCTTTTTAAATAAAAGATTGAAAACCAAGTGAGAATTGGGTTAAAGAAAAAAAAAATCTTCAAAATGGTATTGGAAAATAGCACAGGAAGGCAACAGGAGAAATCAGATTAATTGTGTAACTTTCCACAGTAATTTTAGAGAGTCTTAATGCAAATTAAAAAATTATTAAGTGCATTACAGAGATCAGGTAGGATGAACTGAAGAAGGAAAGAAGAGGTAGCTGTTTTCTTCTGTTCCTATAGTTAGAGCCCCCAAGCAGGTAAAAAAAAAAGTAGAGAACAATAAGACTTTAAATCATCAACTGAGGTTAATTTAACTATTGGTAGTACATTCAGTATGTGATCTCTGTCCAATTATAAATAAATTAACCATAGGAGAGGAAGTGAAACAGCCTCATTGACAGTCTGACTATAAATGAAACAAGAAGATAGAAACTAATCATAGGCAAATGGAACAGTCTATTAAGGTAATTGTAACTACTGTGCCAACATCAATTGCAGAAGTTAAAATAGAAAGGTTCTATAGTAAACATAATGAAGTCCTCCATAGTAGATCTACATATACTTCAGTTCACTGTAAGCCCAATGGGTCCAAGGTGGGTGGGGATGGACAGTGAAAACTAAGTGGGAATTATGCTTCATTATCAAGGAATGAAATAGGTTATTCAAAAGGGAATTGATTTTTAGCTGGATGG